GTAGTAGTAGTAGTAGTAGTAGTAGTAGTAATAGGAGGAGGAGGAGGAGGAGGAGGAGGAGTAGTAGTAGTAGTAGTAGTAGTAGTAGTAGTAGTAGTAGTAGTACCTGCATGCATGTCTTCGGATCCTTTTGGCCACCCTGATTTAGCAGCAGCACCTTTTGAAGAAGTCGCCCGTGATTGGCCACTCTTAGCAACCCCGGGGACTTCTTCCTCGCCCAACTGCTGGTCTTGCTTGGCGTCGTACTTGTTCAGCACGCGGTAAAATTTCTCCTTCAGCTCCGGACACTCAGCTGTACCCTCTTCGCCCACCTCTACTTCTTCGGTCTCGGAGTCGAAAGTGACTCGGTTGTCGTGCAAGGATGATTTCGCCGCCGCCATATTCTGACCATGACGTGCGGCAAGGATTCTCTTCCTGGCAAGCTGGCTCAGGGGCATTTCGGCCTCACATTTGGCCGTATACCTGACCACGTAGTCAGGGTGTAAATATCTCACGGGAGCGAGAGTAGTTTGCTCCATTTTGGCGCGCTGGCGGCCTTTGCAAGAATTTTCGTGAGTTTGTGACGTCACCACAAAGTGGTACCCCGGTCTGGTTTTGACTCGTTTCCAACCTCGGAATCTGTGGCATAAGGTACAGTACATATTTTATATCACAGGGGTGGGTGGACGAGAGGGGAAGGGTAAGGTGAGAGAGGGAGAGAGAGAGGGAGAGAGAGAGAGGGAGAGAGAAAGGGAGAGATAGAGGGGAGAGAGAGGGGGGAGAGAGTGGAGGGGGTGGGGGGGATGGGAGTAAGAGAGAAACACACGGAGAGAAAGACAGATAGATAGACAGAGAGATAAGCAGGCAGACGTACAGAGACAGACACAGAGATAAAGACAGACACACAAACAGATACACACAGACTGACAGACAGACAGAGGCAGACAGAGAGACAGACATACATACAGACTGACACCATTTACTCCAGGCTCAGATTCGACCATCAAACTGTCGGATAATGATGCATACTAGATATAATTTATTGTCAAGATTAAAATTTGCTGTTGATTATTTCAAATGATGGCCCTTCTAACCAAAGGCTAGCTCCGATAAAATTATACTGCCCACGCCCAAGAGCTGGTCCCACTCAAGATAGATATGTTTTGGGGGGGGGGGGGTTAGATTTCAAGACTGGGATTTGTTTGTCATTTGGACCCCACTGGACATAAATACATGGCAATGCTTTCACTCACATGTCTAAGAGAGAGAGAGAGAGAGAGAGAGAGAGAGAGAGAGAGAGAGAGAGAGAGAGAGAGAGAGAGAGAGAGAGAGAGAGAGAGAGAGAGAGAGAGAGAGAGACTTCTATTATTTCCACACACAGTCACCTCGCGTCGCAAAGTTTGGCGTGTGACGGCGTGAGATTGGAGCGAGGATACGCCAGTTTGTTGACGGCACTGCTGCTCCAGCGCTTCTCCTTCCTCTCAGGCTCCGCCACAGGCACATGTTCTGAGGGTCAAAAACAACACAGACTCACATGCTGCAGGTTACGTACAACTAATTAGTTTATCAAATATAATCCCCTGCCAAACAGTTGAGCAAGGCGTCGACTACCACTTTTTAAAAGGCGTCTTATTCAGTGATAAAAGTACCCTTGAGACAAGATTCATATAAAACGTATACTACCTTATTATGGAAACTTTTTTATGATCATTAGAAGACGAGTTTAAAATATTTTTGATACCTATGTCATTAGTAATTTTAGCCTTTTCACAGAAGTCTCTTCTGTAGAATGTGTATGTTTTATGTGTTGTAGGCCCATTGCTTTGAACACTGAACAAAACACCTACCTACCACTCCAGACCCCTTCATGTAAGACAAGACGTAAAGAAAGGTGTCGTAGCCTCATTACTCAACTTTGCCCAGCTGTGGTGGAAGGGAGGGGGACAGAAAAGATACAGCGGTTGAGAGAGAGCGGCTAGAGAGAGAGAGAGAGAGAGAGAGAGAGAGAGAGAGAGAGAGAGAGAGAGAGAGAGAGAGAGAGAAAAGAGAGAGAGAGAGAGAAAGAGAAGAAGAAGAAGAAGAAAAAGAAGAAGAAGAAGAAGAAGAGAGAGAGAGGGGGGGGGGGGAAGAAGAATAAGAAGAAGAAGAAGAAGAAGAAGAAGAAGAAGACCTTCCTACAAATAAGTGCTCACT